AGACCATCGATCCAAGTCGCATCCGTCTGAACCAAGGATTTTTAAGAGATTCCAAGAGGAAATGCATTTGTAATTTTTCAATGGACGTAAAATCAAGTAATTCCTTGATTACTCCTAGGTTATCATAATTCTGTTGAAAAAGACAAAAGATGAACAGTAACCTACCTTCCGTCAAAACGGTTTTTAGCACGGTGGGTTTGACCGGAAATTGAAAACGGAACCTTTTGCACCTGAAGCGAAAAACATACCCCTAGACCACCGAGCTACGGTTATGGGGGGTATTTTTAGTTTTACTGCGTTCAACATACTTGTTCGAGAATTTCTAAAATAGCAACTTGTGATAAGAATTGTTTGTGTGATAAAAGAACCGTTTCCTTTAAATACATAATGAGCTTTGGGGATTATTTACTTTCCAAAACTATTTTCAACTGATGTTACTTTTTGGATGTCATTTTTTAAATTAAAAAAGAAACATTTTACACTTTAGGCTCGGTTCGGATGAGAAAAGCAAGCGTGGCGCACTCTGATGTCTCAATATCATGTCTCTAGAACACAGGACTACGTTTGGAGTGTTGTTAAGTCATTCATTTTCCAGTTGCTACTTTAGACAATATCTTTACTAAGAAATGTTCGTAAGCACAATGATATCTCAATACTTTGTTCATTTAAAATAGTTAGAAATTTAGACCACTTGAAAGGCTTTTCTTAAAATTTCCATATTGCAAAACATGCAATAGATTCTATTGTGGAAATTGCAACTTTAAAGGCGTGAAACTTTCAAAATGAAAAATCAGCATGGGAATTTGCAATTCGCATATCACGATCTCTACATCTCTCCGAAATTCACGTATTTCGTATTCATAATCCTCGTGCTGTTTGTGATATAGTTCATGATTAACAATGAATCGGTCGTTTAAATCAATACAAAAACCTAGAAAAGAAAGAATAATTCGGGCTCGGCCGTGATTTGAACCCAGGACCTCTCGCACCCAAAGCGAGAATCATACCCCAACACCATCGAGCCATGTCGTATCAGTCTGATACCAAGCATTTAAAAAGAGATTCCAAGAGGAAAGCCTTTATAATTTTTCAATGGATGGAACAGAAAATAATTCTTTATTTACTACTTGGTTATTAAACGCTGTAAAAACACAAGAGGAACAGTAAACTGTTTTCCTTAAAAACAGTTTAGCAAAGTGGGCTCGACCGGGAATTTAACCCGGGACCTCTCGCACCCGAAGCGAGAATCATACCCCTACACCACCGAACCACGATTATTGCTGAGATTTTTAGTTTTACAGCGTTAAACGTACTTGTTCGAGAATTTCTAAAATTTCAATTTGTGTTAAAAATAGTGTGCCTGATAAACGATCCGTTTCCTTTAAATAGATAATGAGCTTGGGGGGTTATTTACTTTCCAAGACTATTCTCCACTGATGTTATTATTTGGATGTCATTTTTTCTATTAAAAAGGAAACATTTTACACATCAGGCTCGATTCGGATAAGAAAACTCAACGTGGCGCACTCTGATGTCTCAATACCATGTCTCTAGAACACATGACAACGTTTTGATTTTTGTTAACTCATTCATTTGCCTCTTGCAACTTTAGACAATTTCTTTACTACGAAATGCTCGTGGGCAATGATATCTCAATACTTTGTTTATTTAAAATTGTTAGGAATTTAGACCACTTGAAACGCTTTTCTTTAGATTACCACGTTTCAAAACCTGCAATCTATTCTATTGTGGAAAGGTCAACTGAAAGTGTCGAAATAAAAATTATGTATGGCAATTTGTAATTGGTAGGTGACGTGTTACACTGTCTCTACATCACTCCCAAAATTCACGTATTTCGTGTTCAAAATCCTCGTGCTGTTTTATAACGGGTCGTCAATTAACAGTTAATCTGTCAAAGAAATCCAAACAAAAACCTAGAAAAAAAAAGTATTTCGGGCTCGGTCGGGATTTCAATCCGGGACCCTTCATACTCTAAGCGAGAACCATACCCCTAGACCACCGAGCCTCGTTGGGGTTCGTAAGCAAATATGCAAACTTTACTGTAGAAAGCAAAATATTAATCAAAAACTCTGTAGGAACGTCTTTCAAAAATATTGTTCAAATACAATAAAGATTTTTCCGCATTCTTCGCGTTTCTAGTTTTATCGTTTTGATATTGCTGTTATACTTGGATAAAGTAAAAGATTTCCGATCTCGACCTGAATTTGAAACTGGGATCTCTCGCACCCAAAGTGAGAATCATACCCCTACACCATCGAGCCATGTCGTTTCGGTCTGATCCAAGAATTTAAAAGATGTTCCATGAGGATTGCAATTGTGATGTTTCAATGGATGAAAAAGAAAGTAATTTTTTGTTTACTCCTGGGTTATCAAATACTTTTGAAAAAGACAAGAGGAACAGTAAACTTTTTCCTTCAAAACGGTTTAGCACAGTGGGCTCGACAGGGAATTGAAACCGGGTCCTCTCGCACCCGAAGCAAGTATCATACTCCCTAGACCACCAAGCCATGTCGGATCAGTCGGATCCAAGCATTTAAAAGAGGTTCCAAGGGGAATGGAATTAAAAATTTTCAATAAATGGAAAAGAAAATAATTCTTTGTTTACTCCTGGGTTATCAAATTCTTTTGAAAAAGACACAAGAGGAACAGTAAACTGTTTTCCTTCAAAACGGTTTAGCGTAGTGGGCGCGAACGGAAATTGAACCCGGGACCTTTCACACCCGAAGCGAGAAACATACCCCTAGACCACCGGAGCCACGGTTATGGCGAGTATTTTTAGTTTTACTGCGTTCAACATACTTGTTCGAGAATTTCTAAAATTGCAACTTGTGTTAAAAATATTGTGCATGAAAAACGAGCCGTTTCTTTTAAATTGATAACGTGCTTGGTGGATATTTGTTTTCAAGACTTTTCTCCACTGGTGCTACTATTTGAATGTCATTTTTTCCATTAAGAAGGAAACATTTTTTACATCAGCCTCGGTTCGGATAAGAAAACTGAACGTGGCGCACTCTGATGTCTCAATACCATGTCTCTAGAACACATGACAACGTTTTGATTTTTGTTAACTCATTCATTTGCCTCTTGCAACTTTAGACAATTTCTTTACTACGAAATGCTCGTGGGCAATGATATCTCAATACTTTGTTTATTTAAAATTGTTAGGAATTTAGACCACTTGAAACGCTTTTCTTTAGATTACCACGTTGCAAAACATGCAATCTGATCTATTGTGGAAAGGTCAACTGAAACTGTCAAAATAAAAATTATGTATGGGAATTTGCAATTGGTAGGTGACCATTTACACTGTCTCTGCATGTCTCTCGAAATTCACGTATTTCGTGTTCAAGATCCTCGTGCTGTTTGATAACTGGTCGTCAATTAACAGTTAATCTGTCAAAGAAATCCAAACAAAAACCTTAGAAAAAAAAGTATTTCGGGCTCGGCCGGGATTTGAAACCGGAACCTCTCGCACTCAAGAAGAGAATCATACCCCTAGACCACCGAGCCATGTCGTATCAGTCTGATCAAAAGCATTTAAAAGAGGTTCAATAGGAATGCAATTATAATTTTTCAATGGATATCTTGCAAAGTAATTATTGTTACCTGGATTATCAAATTCTGTTGAAAACGACACAAGAGGAACAGTTAACTTTGAAGTTTTACCTCGTTTTGAGAACGAGAATAAATTGGAGTCAGAAAAGAACCAGTAGCCATATTTTTATAAATAACTTTCTTTATTTGGTTATCCAATCCAAATAGAATCAAAGACTTATTAACAAATAACGTCGTAATCATTATTATCCAAGGTTTTAAAAGGTAATATCTTTAAATTAATTAAATAATTAATGATTCGATTAATTAACAATTATAATATCGATCAAGAGATTACCACGATAAGAGATCCCAGAATTATATTTAATGTTCTTATTGAACATTTAATTTTAATTCCTCCTAAAATAAATCTTTAATGAGACTTTAATTATAAATCAATATTTACCACAGTGGAATCTCAACTCTTCTTGAGATTAAATTGTCCAACAAGAAATCTTCAATTTAACTTCACTATAACTTTCAAGCCAATCTCTCTCCTACTGCTCCAACTTTACTATTCCGTTTGACTTAGAACTTTATCTAATCTGCCAACAAGGAATCCTGTCCTCTTTTTGGAGTTGATTGGAAATAGGTAGGGGAATTAAATTTCCCTGGACGACTCAGAAGGTTAGTGATAAAGTTCCGTATAGATTTGTTACAAACAGTTTTCCTTCAAAACGGTTTAGCACAGTGGGCTCGACCGGAAATTGAAACGGAAACCTTTCGCACCCGAAGCGAGAAACAAACCCCTAGACAACCAAGCTACGGTTATGGCGGGTATTTTTAGTTTTACTGCGTTCAATATACTTGTTCGAGAATTTCTAAAATTGCAACATGTGTTAAAAATATTGTGCATGATAAACGAGCCGTTTATTTTAAACTGATAACGTGTTTGGTGGTTATTTGCGTTTCAAGAGTTTTCTCCACTGGTGTTACTATTTGGATGTCATTTTTTCCATTAAAAAGTAAACATTTTTTACATCAGGCTCGGTTCGGATAAGAAAACTGAACGTGGCGCACTCTGATGTCTCAATACCATGTCTCTAGAACACATGACAACGTTTTGATTTTTGTTAACTCATTCATTTGCTTCTTGCAACTTTAGACAATTTCTTTACTACGAAATGCTCGTGGGCAATGATATCTCAATACTTTGTTTATTTAAAATAGTTAGGAATTTAGACCACTTGAAAGGCTTTTCTTAAGATTGCCACATTGCAAAACATGCAATAGATTTTATTGTGGAAGTTTCAAATTTATACGGGCTAAAACTTTCAAAATGAAAAATCGGCACGGGAATTTGCAATTGGCAGATTACGTATTACACGATCTCCGCATCTCTCCGAAATTCACGTATTTCGTGTTTAATATCCTCGTGCTGTTTTATAACGGGTCGTCAATTAACAGTTAATCTGTCAAAGAAATACAAACAAAAACCTAGAAAAAAAGTATTTCGGGCTCGGCCAGGATTTGAACCCAGGACCTCTCGCACCCAAAGCGAGGATCATACCCCTAGACCACCGAGCCATGTCGTATCAGTCTGATTCAAGCATTTAAAAGAGGTTCCAAGAGGAATGCAATTACAATTTTTCAATAAATGGAAAAGAAAAAAATTTCTTGTTTACTCCTGGGTTATCAAATTCTGTTAAAAAAGACACAAGAGGAACAGTAAAATGTTTTATTTCAAAACGGTTTAGCACAACGGGCTCGACTGGTAATTGAACCCGGGACCTCTGGCACCCTAAGCGAGAATCGTACCCTTAGACCACCAAGCCGCGTTAAGGTTTGTAATCAAATTTGAGAACTTAACTGTAGAAAGCAATATATTAACTAAAAACTTCGTAGGAACGTCTAGCAAAAATGTTGTTGAAATTCAACAAAGATCTTTTTCGCATTCTTCACATTTGTAGTTTATCGTTTTGATATTGCTGTTATACTTGGATGAAGTAAAAAGAGATTTACGGGCTCGACCAGGATTTGAACCCGGGACCTCTCACACCCAAAGCGAGAATCATATCCCTAGACCATCGAGCCATTTCGTATCAGTCTGATCCAAGCAATTTCAAGAGGTTCCAAGAGGAATGCATTTATAATTTTTCAATGGATGGAAAAGAAAATAATTTCTTGCTTACTCCTGGGTTATCAAATTCTATTGAAAAAGACATAAGAGGAACAGTAAACTGTTTTAACACAGTTTAAAAAAAACTTCAAAACGGTTTAGTACAGTGGGCTCGACCGGAAATTGAAACGGGAACCTCTCGCACCCAAAGCGAGAAACATACCCCTGGACCACCGCGCCACGGTTATGGTATGTATTTTTAGTTTTACTGTGTTCAACTTCCTTGTTCGAGAATTTCTAAAATTGCAACTTTGCTAAGAATTGTGTGAATGATAAACGAGCCGTTTCCTTTAAATAGATAATGAGCTTGGGGGGTTATTAACTTTCCAAGACTATTTTCTACTGGTATTACTATTTGGTTGTCACTTTTTCCATTAGAAAGGAAACATTTTACACATCGGGCTCGATTCGAAAAAGAAAACTTAGCGTTGCGCACTCTGATGTCTCAATACTATGTCTCTAGAACACATGACAACGTTTAGATTTTTGTTAACTCATTCATTTGCCTCTTGCAACTTTAGACAATTTCTTTATTACGAAATGCTCGTGGGCAATGATATCTCAATACTTTGTTTATTTAAAATTGTTAGGAATTTAGACCACTTGAAAGGCTTTTCTTTTGATTACCACGTCGCAAAACATGCAATCTGATCTATTGTGGAAAGGTCAACTGAAACTGTCAAAATAAAAATTATATATGGGAATTTGCAATTGGTAGGTGACGTGTTACACTTTCTCTGCATCTCTCCCGAAATTCACGTATTTTGTGTTCAAGATCCTCGTGCTGTTTGATAACTGGTCGTCAATTAACAGTTAATCTGTCGAAGAAATCCAAATAAAAACATAAAAAAAAAAAAGTATTTCGGGCTCAGCCGGGATTTGAAACCGGAACCTCTAGCACCCAAAAAGAGAATCATACCCCTAGACCACCGAACCATGTCCTATCAGACCGATCCAAGCATTTAAAAGAGGTTCCAAGAGGAATGCAATTATAATTTTTCAATGGATGGAAAAGAAAATAATTCTATTACTTACCTACGTAAAGTTTCATCTAATTTTGACGACTTTTTCTTGGTGCGCAAATTTTTATGGCAGTGAGTGTATTTTGTAACAGTCATCGCTTAAAAAAGGCAATTAACAAAGTTGAGAACGTGTAGTGAGGCAAGTAATATTTAAATAATGCATGTGCTACTAAAATAGACTGAATAATATCCAACAATACTTTTAAGTAGTTATAAAACGTTCTTTTTATTTATTGATTAAAATGTTCTTCACAAACTGTAAAAGACAGATTTCAATGAAGGTAAACTTTTAAATACAAAATAAAATACAATTTTCATAAAATAAAGTTGTAGAAGACAATTAATATAATCAATGATGTTTCTTCATAAAACCTTATAATCGGATCTTTTAAAAATGATTTTAAAGATTGACATTCAAGTATGATTGTAGAGGTGTTGGTAAACCTAAGTATTTAATACCCCATGGTAAATTACCCGCTTTTAGAAGCAAAATCCTGATATTGCATTTGCAAAGATGCTGCAGCGTTCTGGGCTTGAATACTGAAGCAATAGTTTCGGAGCACACGATTTGGATAATTCCAGCAAGTCTCATAAAATGCTCTTGGGTTTCTGGGAAACACCTAAATTGAGTTCTACACTCCGTAGGATGCTGAAAACGAAATTGGATTTCGTTCTCAATTTCCGGAACAGTGACGAATGGGTCAGGACTCACACTCCACAATAGGTTGAAACATTTTACAACAGATTGACGCATATCAGGTGATGCAGAGAT